TAATTATATTCATTTCCACCGCGAATGCAGGAAACACCGCGGCACTAAAACTACATTAATGCTTAGGATTAACGAGAGCCGTTGACTGACATCCTCAAATTAAGCATTAAAGCCATGTCATGGGACTTTATAGACGATGACACACACGCTCATTGATGAATATGTTTTACTCAGACTAAGCTAAAGTTTAACTATGAGTATGTGCTTCTTAGAACGAGGGTGGCGTTCATCAGTTCCTGGCAAACGGACATTCGAAGAGCGGCAAGAAGTCGTTCACTGGCAATCGAAGTAGAAGTATGGATCACACCCTACAGAGAGCAGGCGGTGAAAAAGAAGTAAGACCAATCAATGCCCTAGACACATAAAACATGCTACAATCTTGCACAAGTACGATGAAAAGAAATGGTCTTTGGCAGATCGAAGTTACGTACCAGTTTAGTTTGCGGCAATGCACAAGCATCTCACAAACCCTGGCTTGTTTCAGAACATCAAACGCATTCCCCTTACTTTCCAAAACATTTATCGAAATTTCTCAGTCCCGTATACAACTAGAGTCCGCATTCTGTCCATCTTTCGAGCAGTACAAAGACATTTAATGTAGAAGTAGGGTACATCCACATGATATAAGTGGACAACAACACAATGAAACAGACAAAATCGTTGCAATGTGACGCATAATCACAGCAACGAGTTCGGCCAGAGAGTACATAGGTCAGATAATTCAGTAGGAGAAACAGACTGCGCCACATGACAACAAAGTATGCAAAACTGTAGTGCCAGGCACTTTTTCCTCCTCGCCAAAATGTCTCATGTTCTGAGGAAACCATGCTACAAAACAAATCGACAAGCGCGACAGAGAGGTGAAACCGAAGTTGATCAGTTAAGTAACTCGATCGAGATATCTCTTGCGATGGCATATCAGTCAGGTAAGAGCTGTGATACACCATAGTGACCGTAAGGATTGAAAGCGAACAAAAGCGCTGGTTTCGACGCAAAATGCAGGCGAAATAGCAGGCTTGTGTGAACGGTGACTATTATCTCTTGTGAGTATATATTGTATAGTAAAGCTAAGTAAAGTAAAAAATAGCTCAGTAAAGCTAAACATCAGGAAAAAGAAAATGGCCGTGTCTGACAAATTCGCTGCGAGAATGCGAGTTTTTTGTGCCGAGTGGAAATCTGCGGACGGAAAAATCTGTTAAGATGCGCTCAGGGAAAAACCATGTTCAAAGAGAGCGTCCATGCATCACCATTAGTCTGCAGACGGATAGCCGCAAGGCTTGAAATTAAGATGTGCGAAATGAACCATTTCGCGCACGCCGCTTGGGCGCAGACCGGTGGCTGCTGTCAAAGTCGATGATACAGTCGCCGCTTTGAATATGTACAACTGCAGGATGGTAATCTGAATCAACTATCCTATTCAACTCCACAAGTTATATATCAGTGAAACTTTCTCTGAGAGTGATCCACGATATCGCTGTCAAACTAGTGAATTTTCAGATTAACATAAGTCAGAAGGGGACGAGACGGGACCAGAAACAGTTCTGACGCTAAGATTATAAAAGCGTTCACCAGTGTACAGCTGCCATTGAGACCATTAAAATTTAGGACACAAATGTCGCCGCCATCATGTCTCGGTAAAATATCATACATTTCTATTCAGCTATTTTACCACAGGCATCGTTTTCGCTATCGGTGTAGTTATGCAATATCGCCTGTATCCAATAAAAAGTCAGGCAATAAGTTATTACGCAACTTCTGTTAGATCATGACTTTGAGAAAGCTGCTGGACTAAAAGTTCCTCGAAACTCCAGTATTTGTTCACGTCGTAGATGGAGGACAGCGAGTCAGCTATTGAGTCAGCTATGACAGGCTCAAAGAGGCTGGAAAATACTTTCTCAACTGTGAGCGAATGGGAGTGCCCCTTTATTGCTACCTTCGCGTCCATTCCATATTACCTGGTGCTATGTTATCTCCGCAGCCCTCTGCCGATAATTATCGACCAAATTTACGTTAGCAATATCACTCTATCCTACCATACTGGTAGAGAACTCAAATGTACCATAGGCGTTTCTGCTATTCAATTTTCGGAGATTTGAAGATGGTTTCAAAAACATAACATCAGTTTGAGCTCTTGGTCAATTAAAAAATTGGAATTACGAAACAAGACGCATACTGCTGCTTGTCTACTTTAGGACTTCATGCTTTGACTGGCAACGACAAGACACCAAGACACGCTGCTAAAGTTTGACATAGCTGCTTGGAAAACTGCTTCCAGGACTTTTTAATAAGTTGGGGGCAAACAACAAAAACGGAAAATTAACCTGCACAGAAAGTACCGAATACCCCCTAACACAATTATCACCGTTCATAAACCTAGATGCATATTTCTTTTAAACTCTGAAGTGGCTGGACTCAAATAAAGCAAATAAGAAATTCAGAATGGACTTGAGGACGAATACCTCCATTAGAGGCTCCGGAAAAAACATCGGAAACTGTTAAGTGCTATGAATCACTACAGCGCCGTGGACACCTTCTTGACTTCGCTTCAACATTCACTTTTATCCCTAGATAGAAACCAAAAATGGGTACATCATTAACTTAACTGTCCTTATCCTAGAACGGCTGACGACTATGCATCGTTTCACCAGGAGGTGCTCAATGAGTAACAGAATTCTTATGCCCAAGCGTACGAATCTTGAAACTATTCGAAGGTTCCGCGATCTCTTGCCATTGTTTATTCTGCACATTAACTCATACAGCGCTGCTTAACTATTTCTCAGCATAAAATATATTGGCGAGCTATATATCATGACATTAAAATAAAGTAAAAATTGTGGGCTTATACGCTGGAGAATGTTAATAAGCGCATGATTCCATTAAAACGGGCTCACGACGTTACGGCTTGCTTTTAAGTGCCTAGGAGGTGGAGCCGTTAAAACAGGCCACAATTCCACGACCATCTGCAGTGTTAAGTGCATTTTGTACGTACTGGCTAGAGCAATACTTTGCTCGAGTCAGTGATGCTTCACGAGTCGGTACTTCCTATGT